GAATAATATTTTTATTTTTCCTTTATTTTGTCCATTTTCTGTTATTTTAAAGTTATAAGAGATATAAGAACAATGGTTGAAAAACTCATTAATGATAAAATTATTTAATATAACCGAAACCTTACTTGTCTGGAAACCACTGGTCTCCAAACAGGCTGAGGCCCTGTATTTCTCAGACCATTCCTGAGGAGCCAAAATATCATGTAACCTAAACTTACTTCCTATTTTGTAGTTAGCCAGATTGCTTTGTTTGCTTTTTTCCTCACCCCATTATTCTTGGAATTTATTTATTTTTCTCTCATGACTTTTTACATTGCTCTAGGATAGATATGGTGTCTGGATAATTTGGCCTGAAGGGCTAGCTAAAACTATTTTGCCCATAGGGCCATTAAGACAGCCTAGGAGATTGTTCAAATATGATAAATGCTACCTTGATTGATTGCTACAGTAGATATTGATGTCTTACGATGATCAATTTTACTTAATAAGATAATTTAATTTTGATTACAAGTTTATTTCTTTTAAATCTATGCATTTACTAACAAGCTTAATTAATATTTAACTTTTGAACATGACATCTGTGATAGTTAGGTTTATTGTGCCAACTAGGCTTTTGTAGGAACATGTGGGCAGAGTTTAATCAGGCCGAAGCTTGATTGGAGGGTGACTGAGATAAATGGCTCTGCAAGGCTGGCCTCTTCCTCCTCCTTCCTGGTGATCAGACTAGCATGCTGCTGCCTGAGCTAGTCCTTTGCCTCAACATTTACCTGCTTCGCCAAGCTCATGGGCTACTGACCTATGTTACCTTCAATTTCTCATCTTCCTGCTGTTGCTGCCCCACCCTGCTGTCTGAGGGCTGACTGTTTTCTTGCCCGAAGGCGGATTCCACTGCTTCCTTGACCTTGGACCAGCAGCCTACGTGAGTTGAAGGACCTTAAGTATATTAACTGTACCCTGAAAGTGAGGAAAGTGAGTTGAATTGAGCCCTCTGTACTGCTGTGTAGACTAATTAGCTGTTGTATTCCTTCTCACTATATAAACTTATCCATATATAAGTGTGCTTGTTTTGCTTCTCTGGAGAACCCTGCCTAACACAACATCTTTTTCTTCTTTTCCTACATTTTTCAAATTAGTATGTCTCAATGTTGTATAGCATCAAGTGGATGGTCATCTCACCTTTCCCCATTCTTGAAGGAGTGACCCCAGCCCATATGACATCTGCTCTTTAGAGATGGTTCTTATGAAATGCACATAAGATGTTCATAGCTCATAGGCAGACTTTCTGCCCCTTTGGGAATTAGTCTGTAAGATTTGTTTAATTGCTGTTTCTCCTTAAGAATAATGGACTCATACAATATTTGTCCTTTTGTGACTGACTAACTTCACTCATCATAATGGTTTTGAGGCCCTTCCATGTCATGCGATGTTTCATACCCAACACCAGTCCACAAAGTCCTTCACCTCACAAAACAGAGGCAATGATGCCGATTGCAGGAGGAAAGCTGAGTCAGTGAACGTGTAAGCATCTCAGCACTGGCAGGGGTCTCCACACGGCTGCTCCAGCACCCAAGGCTGCATCGGGATAGATCCATGCGGCTTCTCCTTGGGGATGTCTTGTAGGAAGTCAATCTTGCAAGCTGAAGCAGGGAACTGCTAAGGCAGCTGCACCCGATGCAACCATCACAAAACAAGAGACCCGAGAACTCGAAAGGCGAGGCTTCACCACCCATTTATCCCTGTACCAGGAGTGGGGTTCGAACCCACGCGGACATATGTCCACTGGACATATGTTGCATCCATATTAGGGATGCAAAGTATTCCATTGTGTGTATGTATCATAGCTTCTTTATCCATTCTTCCACTGTTGGGCATTTGGGCTACTTCCAGTTTCTTGCTATTAACCTGAACTTAATGCTCCCTGAGCAAAAAACGCTTCCTCTGTCACCCATGGTAAGCATTGGCCAAGTTTGTTTTCTTTTTATTTTAGTAGTTTTTTGATATGATAAGTGCCTGGTCCTGGCACAAGGGACTCCATTTTGAATCCGGCACCTTCTTGGTTCTCAGAACTCACCTCTCATGGGCCTCCCTCACATCGGCCTCCCCTCCCCTCGCTGAAAATCACCAGTTCTGAGAACCAGATATCCCCGAGAAAGAATGTTCTTTGAAGAATATGTTTACTTCACCTGCCCCGGTACCTATAGATAAGATTAACGACCACTTCCCTGCATCCCTTGAAGATGTGTTTATTCCACCCATCCCGGACCTATAGATAAAATTAATGAGCGCTTCCCTTTGAAGTCCCTGTATGCAGCTGTGCCTGCCACCAGGGGATATAAAAACGCAGCCAGAAATTCCCCTCGCGCGGTTTCATTAGCTCAATACGTGAGTTATTGAACCTGTCCGCAAGCTTCTCAATAAAGCTTGCTTCTAAAACTTTACCAATTGGACCTTTAATTCCGCTTCGCGCCCCAAAAACCCTTACAATAAGCATATATCATACTATCATACTTCCATACTAAGATCCCTTTTAAAAACAGCTGTAAGAGCCCCCAATGAAATGATAAAAAAAACCCAAACAGTTGTATATACATCATCACAAGCAGTTCTAATATTCCCTCCCCTCTCCTGCATTCATTGTTTGCTCCCCAATCCCCCACCACTCTCTCAACCCAGCCTGTCCGATAAACCATTGCGCCAGTTATTGTCTTTATGCCTCATGCGATGTTTCATACTTTCATCACTGTTTTAAAAAGAATTAACAACAGTGGAGTTTTTAGGCTTGTTTTTGTTATGTTAATGAGCTCATTCCAGAGTAGGATTGTTCTACCCTGCTCTCTAGGGTCACTGTGAGTTGGCATCAACTCAGTGACAGTGAATGAGTGAGGAGATTAACACAGATATCTATGAAAGATTGGAAGCTGAAGTTATGTCATCATTCCAGCACAGTGAACGGATGTAGCATTAGACTTTGGCACAGTTTGGGCTAAAGGGATTCACACAGTAGACAACCCATGTGACATTTCCTGTTGTTCCCAACCAGGCTCCATCTCCCTAAACCATTACTATGTCCTAGAAGAGGATGCAGAGCCAGGCTGAGGATGGAAAAAGACAGAGCTACACCCCTACTCTTCTTTCTTGTGACCCATGGGGCAAACACTTCAACACCCCAAACACCTTGATTCAGAACTTGAGAAAGATTCTAAAGAAGTGAGAAATGGGCTCGAAAAGTTCTCTGCCACTCTAGGCATCACATTTATTTTCTTTTCAAGAGGAGAGGCAGTGGTAGGGCATAATCAAGGGCAATGTAACCAAGAGGAATTCTTGAAACCCAAATGAAGGCCAAACATGATAGTGGGACAAGAGGAAAGTAAAAGGAAATAGAGGAAAGAACTAGGAGGCAACTGGGCATTAATAGACGTCTAAATACAGGCATGTACATATGTAAATATATTTATAGATAACGAGAGGTAAACAGATCTATGTACATATATTTATATGTTAAGTATAAAGATAGCAGATGGACATTGGGCCTCTACTCAAGTACTCCCTCAATCCAAGAACACTAGAATGCAAGAACAACGCAAGAATAACCCAGCATTCTGTAATGCTCACCTTCCCGACACGATCTCTGAAGACAAAATGGGTGTATAAAAAATGTGGTGAAGAAAGCTGATGGTGTCCAGTTATCCAAAGATACAGCACCTGGGATCTTAAAGGTCTGAAGATTAAACAAGTAGCTATCTAGCTGAGAAGCAACAAAACCTACATGGAAGAAGCACATCAGCCTGTGTGATCATAAGGTATCGATGGGATCAGGTATCAGACATCAAATACCCCAAACAAAACAAATAAAAAAAATCATATCAATGGGAATAAGGGGGAGGGCAGAGTGGAGACCCAAAGCCCATCAATAGTCAATTGGACACCCCCTGCCAGAAGGGCCACAAGGAAAAGACGAGCCAGTGAGGGCGCAGTCCAGCACCAACGAAACACACAACCTTCCTCTAGTTCTTTAATGCTTGCTCCCCGCCCACTATCATGACCCCAATCCTAACTTACAAATCTTGCTAGACCAGAGCATGTATACTGGTACAGATAAGAGCTAGAAACACAGGGAATCCAGGACAGATAAATCCCTCAGGACCGATAATGAGAGTAGCGATACCAGGAGGGGATGGGGAAGGTGGAGGGAGAAAGGGGGAACCATTCACAATGACCTATATATAATCCCCTCCTAGGGGAGCATACAACAGAAAAGTGGGTGATAGGAGACATCGGTCAGTGTAAGACCTGAAAGAAATTTTATAAATTATGAAGGTTTCATGAGGGAGGGAAGGTGGGGGAGCGAGGCAACAAAAATGAGGAGCTGATACCAAGGGCTCAAGTAGAAAGAACACGTTTGTAAAATGATGATGGCAACAAATGTACAAATATGCTTGACAAATGGATGGATGGAGTGTGATGAGTGTTGGACCGAGCTCTGCAACAGAGCAGGACAGACACTGCTGTTCCATGACAGCCCTGGGTCCACACTCCAAGTGTCAGTACAGGCAGAGCTGGCTGGGTCACAGCCACCTTCTGTTGGTGATGACCCGATGGCTACCCTGATGGCAAAGAAGACCCTGATGGCTACTCTTTAATACTCCACTGGGCAGGCAGATCCTTAATTGTCTGGCTCTGCTCATGATTATGGATGGGAATTCAAATATTTGGCTGAGGAGCAAGGCTGAGAGACTAACCTCCCTATTATGGGAGGGACTAACCTCCCTATTGTGGAGCAAATGAGGAAGAGGCCTCAAGATGGCTCTGATGTAAGAAACAATTCCTCTCTCCGTGGTAAAATATCTAAGAGAATATGCAGATGTGTATATATGCACAACCACACATATGTATACACGTGATGCTATATGTGTACAGAAATCTGTGTATAGAATCTTCCCCCACATCTTCCAAGGGAGTTCAGTCCAAACAGCTCCCAGGGAGCCAGAGCAAAGCCTTACCTGGGCCTCTTGTCTGCAGTGGCGATACACATGTGCTGGGAAGGGACAGCTTTCCATTTCTTTGCTTCCACCACAAGAGCTTCTGCATCCACCAGGCCAAAGCCATACAGATGGCTAACTGAAAAGATAAGGATTTCAAAACTAGAATTCCTTCTATTTTCTTCTGGAAGGGGGCAGGGCTGGGTTCCTCCACTCTGCTTTGCTCTCACCCACAGCACCTTATCCAGGAACCAGGGGGACAAGGTCACACTGGCAGTTTTACACCCTTGGGCACTCTTTAGGGAAAGTCTCTCTCTCCGCAGGACTAGTGTTCTGAGAGATAACTGTCCAAGCTGTTACACTCCTTCCCTGTAGACCTGACGGCCGAGAGATGTGTTTATTTTGGAACAGAGTAGAAATGAGGAGAAAGGCTGTGGCTGCCGTTAGCTGCTGTTGACTTCGTTGGCCCTGACTCTTGGTGATCCCATGAGCCACAGAACGAAATGTTGGCTGGTCTTGTTCTAGTCGCAGGACTGACTACAAACTGCGATCAATAGTGCTTTTGGAAACTCTGCTGAAATGTATTCAGCACCATAGCAACACGCAAGTCTCCACTAAAAGAGGAGGTGCACTTAGCAGAAATGGATTTTAGGTCCCCTGCAAACTGAATGAAAATGCTACCACTAAACCCCCTCTTCGCCCTTAGAGGGGCTACCACTGTGTTTCCAAGATGAAGACAGATTTGTTTATAGTCGAGAGAGTTATCACCACCTGAAGTTGCTAAATTTTACACCAGAATAGAGGAATAAGACCTGAGCCCTCCTGGTCCCTGGGACCACTATGACTGATGCACACAATAAAACAGGGTTGGCCCCCGCAACTTTTACCATTTTCTTTCCTACTGATCTTTCAGCACATTCAGGGAAAGCATCACACACAGTAGGAGTGTGTGTGAAATAGTCTGTCCAGTGTTTAATCTGGTCATGGTAAGAGAGTTTAATTTAAGCAGCAAGGTTGAGAACTAGATACAATCGATTTTCCTATTGAATGAGGCCAACATTGGAATGTAGGTCAGCTCTTGTTACAGCACATGACTACCACCAACATTCCTGCAACACTAAGGCTCATTAAGCCCAATCAATGGCTTCTTTATAAAAAGGAATGTATTTGGAATTTATTATAACAATATTTGACCTAAAATTTATGTTTCAGGTTTGGTATCAAAATAGTTGGATCTGAGCATCAGAGAAGGGAACAAAAAGAAAAGACTTCTCCCTAACTTACTCTGGCTGAATGTAAATATCCTTCAAGTATCTCTGGTAAGAAGCCAGGTGAAAAGAGCCAGTGTCAAAGACCTACAAGTAACCACCACATCTTTTGCCAGCTCTAGGGAATAAATATCTAGGCTATGAGATCTGACTGGAAGTTGATTTCATGGTATAGGGGTCTATATCAAGCTAGACTAGGAGTCGGGGCTCAGCTGTTTAGATCAGATCCACATAAAATTGTCCTTTGAGATACATTAACATAGATGCTTGCTGGCAGAAGTTTTTTAGTTGGAAAGGAACTTACTACCTCATCTTCCTAACTGTACAGATAAAATTGGGGCCAAAATCAAACTCACTGCCATCGAGTCAATTCTAACTCACAGCAACCCTACAGGACAGGGTAGAACTGCCCCCATGGGTTTCTAAGACTTAAGGAGTCCGAAACCTCAACTTTCTCCAGAGAAACTTGGTGGTTTCCAATTGCTGATGTTGAGGTTAGTAGCCCTGCATGTAATCCACTAGGACTGATTCTCATGTTTTCCACTTTTTTCTTTAATGCCCAAGTGAGGCTGCAGGGTACTTTTTCCCTTTAAAATTGACTTATTTTGTTGTTGTTAAGCAGAGTAATTTTCTTAAATTGCTCATACTTTTAAAAATTCTGGTAATACATAGCTAATGTGAGTTAGGAATTTATTGTCTGAAATTTTTACCACCCTTTACTGTGGATTCTAGGAGCCCCTTTAAGGGTCAGGAAGGGTGTGGTGACATGCTGGCCTCTCCCAGACTACTGAACAACTGTACCTTTGTGACCAGCACCGTTGATTTTCCAGTCATTTGCCTTCAGGTGAGCCGGCCTAGATGTCTTTACCAGCAGGTGCTGGACATCCCTCCAGGTTAACTGGTTGCTATGATGACACAATGGCAAATAGGTCAGGCAGTGACAGCCATGTGGGTCCATAGGAGGTGGTACATGGGGAGTCTGTCCTTAAGTCTAGACCTGAGTGAGCTGCACTCTTCAGCAATGGCTTATTTCACACTGTCATCAAGTCACTGCTGACAAACAGCGATCCCCTGTGGGTTCTGACACGGTAACTGCTTATGGGATGAGAAAGCCCATCTTCCTCCCGCGGAACTGCGGGTGGTTTTGCCCGGCAAATCATGTGGTCGAAGCCCACCGTGCCATAGTAGTTTCCAGCAATTAACACCAGGGATAAAGTAGTACAGGATAACTTGAAATCTCTAAGCATTAACAACCAATCCTTCCTGCTAAGCTTTCCTTGTGTTTATAGACTACAAGTGTACTCTACCCGAGTACAACCAAGGTACTTAAGCAGGTAGAACTCACTCTCCATTCCAAGGGAGAAAAGGCTTAAAGGTTTGTTCCCATAAAGATTGCAGTCCAGGAAACCCTATGGGGGCCTTTTTTGTTTTCCGTCCTCTATGAACTGCCTGAATGGGACATGACAACAACAACCTTTTTCACCATAATGAGAGAATGTTGTAATGCACAGGCCTATGCTTGGAGCAGTCTGCCCAGGCCCCACACTCAGTTGGCCTTTGTGCTCTCTCAACTTCCTTGTTCAATCCATCCACTTCCTAGTTCTTTACCTGAAACAGGGTGACTAATGTTCTCTCATTATCCACAATCCTTCCTGTGAGTTTCCAGCTTCCAATCCAATTGTATCTTTAGAAGATTCTGGAGCTCTGAGTAGCTAAAGGCTTGGTACTGTGGTCAAGGAACGGCCCAGGCGGATGAGCCCTACAGGACTAGTGGTGTGAGTGGTGAAACAGGGAGGGTAGAGGGAGAGTGGGTAGGAAAGAGGGAACCGATTACAAGGAACTATGTGACCTCCTCCCTGGGGGACGGACAACAGAAAAGTGGGTGAAGGGAGACGTGGGACAGGGCAAGATATGACAAAATACCAATTTATAAACTATCAAGGGCTCATGAGGGAGGGGAGGGGGGGTAGGGGAAAAATGAGGACCTAATGCCGGGGGTTTAAGTGGAGAGGAAATGTTTTGAGAATGATGAGGGCAATGAATGTACAAATGCGCTTTACACAATTGATGTGTGTATGGATTGTGATAAGAGTTGTATGAGCCCCTAATAAAATGATTAAAAAAAAAAAAAGAGAAACGGCCCAGGGTCTTTGGGGTTGAGTCGGCCAGAGCTGGCAGCTAAAACACCTGTGAGTATGTGATCTGGGCATGTGGCTGTGAATCACTGGGACTCACCGAGTGTGTATGGTCCTCCTGAAAACCTGCTATTATGAAAGTACTCAAGAAGCCTGGGAAGCAATTGTAACAGAAGGGGCCTGGAAAAGGCATGTATGAGAAAACTTTTTCTTTCTTTGAGAAACCATGGTATTGTGAGAAAATTCTATTTTATTTTTGACTCTTGAAATCACAAATGTAGTTGTATGAAAAATACATCCAAGAAATGGAGCTAAACTTTTCTTACGAAGAAGGGATTGATAAGCAGTCCCAAGACTGCTCCAAACAATTGGGCGATCTTTGGACAATTCTTACATATGAGTCTTTCTTCATCCCTGTTACACACAATCGGCACACCTTCCTTACACTCCCTGGTAGGTGTCTCACCCTGTTTCTTTCCTTCGAGTAGTGGAAAGATCTAGGACACAACCCTGTACACAAAACAGCCAATGACTTGCTGAGATGTGTTAGCAACTCCAATCTCCAAAACCAGACTTTTGGATTCCCTGGATATAATTTATTAGTTGACCAATACTATAAGTTCAAAAGGCTATAAGGTGCCTATGTTTCCACTGAGGTTTCCTTCATTTACCTCCTGAGGAATTCGAATGGTGAAGAAGATGACTTTCAGAGTTTTCCTGCACCACAAGCTCGGGTTAATTGGGCAAACTGGTGTGAAGCAGGATTTGTTTTCTGATTAGTTTTAAGTAGCAGACAGAAGTCCTTTAATATTTCCAATCAGGGAGGGAAGAAAATACACAATAATGAATCATGGTAAATGCAACTTTCCACACAAGTGACTGATTTTTTATATTTTAAAAAGAGCTTTGGGACACAGAAGCCAATGTGCTGCAAATTGAAAATATCGAGCTGTTTCTTTATTAAGTTGGTAGCTTTTGAGCTTTGTGTGCTTATACCTCATGCAAATCAACTTACAAACATACAGGATTATAAGTATCTAAGCTTCTTAAATATCCTTTTAAAATCATTTGAAATACCTTCTGTGACAAATGGCTACAGCAAGTGGCCAGGTTGTTGTATTTTGCTGTCTACACTGAATTGAACTGTGACCGCATGACTGATGGACAGCTAACTTTTAGTTCTCTCTTGACCCCATTAGAGTTATCCTTTGGTTTCCCACTTCCATTGGACTGGTTCAGTTCAGAACTACTCGACATCAGGTTTCCGAGACTGTGAATCTGTACAGAAGCCGACAGCCTCATCTCTCCCCAGTGAAGTGGCCAATGGTTTCAATCACTGAACTTGTGATTAGAAGTCCAGTGATCAGCAATAGCACACATTTTGGGCTTATAATAGACAAAATATCACTATTTTATTGGAAATTTATGAACCAACATCCACAAAGGGAAGCTGTGTCAGCCTTCAGTAGGACTTTGGTGTCCAGTTCAGACTATGGAGCAAGCTGAGTGTTTTGGCTAATCCAGTCAGTCCCCTCTGGCCTTATAAAGGGTAGGAAACTCTGGGGTTTAAACATGACCAGAAGGAAAAGGAAGTGGGACTTACTTTGCTTCTAAAGCCAAGGCGATGATACCTGCCACCATGGGGGCTGAGACTGAGGTCCCTGTGTGGCCATCAGTGCAGCGTTGACGTAGGTCCGTGGTGACCTAGGCAAGAGGGTAATGAGAGAAAGGCTACCTCTTAGAAGATGTCAGAGTTTACTAGAGATACTGCTCATGGTAGGTGTAATCCTGGATCCTAGGAGCATAATAAGCACTAAACAAACATGGTTTAACAACCAAGGGCTTCAGAAATACCAGTATTCTCTGCTAAATTGCTTTGCCCTTCACAGGCAGGATGTGCGGACCCATTGCTGGCAGGAACATCATTATCAGGGAGTGAAAATAAGGAGACGAGGCAGAGGGAAGACTTGCACCTGGAAGTCACATGCCATGCTTGAGTTTTGAGACCAGATAAACTAATTTCATCAAGCTCATCAAAGTACACGCCCAAAATAAACGCAAGGCAAAGGACACAAATTAGGGCTTCCTGTACCCTTCTCCTGAGTCTTGGCATCGTGCCATACTCATTACTACCCTGAGAGTCACCATTGGCTCAGATCATCTGTCCGAGCCTTCAGTCATGACCTCATGTTCGCTGCCACAAGTTCAAAGCAGCTGGAATGGACTGAGTGCCCTGGTGACCCAAAAGAACACTTCTCTCTTGACCAAAGGGTCACAGGTCAGATTCTTCAATACAGCATGTTCAGTTTGTGGTGATTTCTTACGGTTATCAGTAGGAAAATACTATGCTGTTGTAGACTGAATTGTGTCCCAAAGTAGGTGCTGTTGTAGACTGAATTGTGTTCCAAAATAGGTGTTGTAATTCCCTACCTCTATGCCTGTAGTTATAATTCCATTTGAGAATGGGCTGTCTTTATTATGGTAATGAGGCAGGATTAGTGTCGGGTGTGTCATGATTTGATCTCTTTTGAGCCATAAAAAGATTTAGCAAGTGGGCTAGCAGAAATGGGGAAAGAGATGTCAAGCCAGAAGAAGATTGTCCAGGAGTAAAAGCTCAGAGACCAGGGTCTTCCTCCAGAGCTCGCAGAAAGAAAGTTTTCTCCTAGAGGCAATTTCCTGAATTTGGACTTCTAGCCTCCTAAACTATATGAGAATAGCTTTGTCATTAAAAACTATCCTCTTGTAGTATTTTCTATTACAGTAGCACTAGATAACTAAGACAGAATTTGGCACCAGAAGTGGAGGTGCTACTGCAACAGACACCTAAAATGTGGAAGTTGTTTTTCAATTGGGTAATGGGTGGAAACTGGATGAGTCTTTTTACTTTTTATTTAGAATCATTTGGGGGGGGGGGGCTTGTACAGCTCTTATCACAATCCATCCATCCATCGTGTCTAGCACATATGTTGCCATCATCATTTTCAAAACATTTTCATTCTACTTGAACCCTTGGTATCAGCTCATTTTTTCCTTCCCTCCCCCCAGTTTTTTATTTGTTTATTTTTTAAACATTTTATTAGGGGCTCATACAACTGTTATCCCAATCCATACACACATCAATTGTGTAAAACGCATTTGTACATCATTCTCAAAACATTTTCTCTCCACTTAAACCCCTGACATTAGGTCCTCGTTTTTCCCCTCCCTCCCCGCTCCCCCCTCCCTCATGAGCCCTTGATAGTTTATAAATTGGTATTTTGTCATATCTTGCCCTGTCCGACGTCTCCCTTCATCCACTTTTCGGTTGTCTGTCCCCCAGGGAGGAGGTCACATATAGTTCCTTGTAATCGGTTCCCTCTTTCCTACCCACTCTCCCTCTACCCTCCCTGTTTCACCACTCACACCACTGGTCCTATAGGGCTCATTCACCCTGGATTCCCTGTATTTTCAGTTCTTACCTGTACCAGTGTACATCCTCTGGTCTAGCCAGACTTGCAAGGTCGAATTCGAGTGGGAGCGGGGAGGAAACATTTAGGAACTAGAGGAAAGTTGTATTTCTCATTGTTGTTACATCGCACCCTGACTGGCTCATCTCCTCCCCGAGACCATTCTGCAAGGGGATCTCCAGTGGCCTACTAATGGGCTTTGGATCTCCACTCCACACTCCCCCCATCATTCACTATGGTAAGATTTTTTGTTCTGATGATGCCTTATACCTGAATCCTTCGACACCTCGTGGTTGCATAGGCTGGTGTGCTTCTTCCATGTGGGCTTTGTTGCTTCTGAGCTTGATGGCCGCTTGATTACCTTCAAGCCTTTAAGACCCCAGACGCTATACTTTTTGATAGCCGGGCACCATGTGCTTTGAGTGGAAGGTTACAGGACAAATTAGTTTCCCATGCAATCGTTTACACATACTTTGTTTCATGACATTAGCTGCAATACCCTCCGTGTGACAACATTCTTCCCATTTCCTTCTTGCGTCCTGTATTTCTACTTACACATCTTTCCCGTCCCTTCCTACCTTCTAAACATGACTTTTGGAAAAATGCTGCTCTTTGGGTTCATCTAGTTTGACTGTTCTGAGGAACATGTTCCTCATAGGTGTTACTGTCCACTTTATAGTGTATTATTTGTCCGAAAGGTGATATCTGGGAGTGGGTTCAGTTCCAGGTTTAAAGAGCATGTAAGAGCCAGTCTTGAATGATGAGGGTAACAAATGTACAAATGTGCTTTATACAACTGATGCATGCATTGTGTAAGAGTTGTATGAGCCCCCAATAAAATGATATTTTTAAAAAATAAGCCAGTCTTAGTTGTTCCGTCAGTCTCTATTAGTTTTCTTTGTGTAAGTCCGGCCTTTTTTATGATTGGAATTTTGTTCTGTATTTTTCTCCCACTCTGTCCCAGGCTTTCTATTGTTATCCTGATCAGTGTTAGGTAGTGGTAGTCAGGCACCATCTAGTTCTTGTGGTCTCAGGCTAATGGAGGTTGTGGTTTATGTGGCCCGTTAGTTTTCTGGACTAATTATTTCCTTTAGTCTTTTTCTTCATTCTTCTTTGCTCCAGATGGGAAGAGAATAATTACAACTTACATAATCATTTGACAGTTTTTAAGACCCTAGTCACTACTTCCCAAAGTAAGATGTAGAACTTTTTTTTAATATGGACTGTTAGGCGAATTGATCTAGATGTCCCTTGAGAGTATGGTCCTCAGTCCTTCAAGCCCAATGACTCAGTTCCTCAAGGTGTTTGGTTATTATGGCTAAGAAGTTTTCATAATTTTGCTCCCCGTATGCTCTACCATATACCTGGATATACTTACAGAAATAAAAAAAAAAAATGCCTGTGTAGAAATATCCTGTCAAATCTATATATGCTTGTGAGTCTACTCTGATGTGCCATCACACACATATTAAGGTTACATATCTACCTATGTGTCTCCACTTGTAAATTATTGTTATTACTGTTATTGCAGAATTGTCTGTATAATAGTTTTTAGCATTGTTGTCTTTAGCCCTTGTGTACTTCCCAGGGTATTCTTTTGCTTTGGTCATGCTGTGCTGACCCTTATTGCACATCACCTTTCCTTTCTTCTAAGTTCATGCAAATCCACTATTTTGTTAATGATTTTCCCTTTCTCCCCCTCCCATTCTGGGAAATATCAAAGAATGCTTCCTTCTGTGTGTAAATCTGTGCATTTCTGGACTTTTTAATTACAGAAGTCTCATACATAAAGTTATTGACTTATTTCACTCAGAAAAATGTCCTCCAGGTTCATCCATGTTGCTAGATGATCCCCCAATTCATTGTTATTCTTTAATACTGCATAATACTCCATTGCGTATTTATATCATATTTACTTATATACTGATTTGTAGTTACATAATCTGGTGTCAATTTTAGGATTAAGAGTGTAGGGGTGGACTCTAGCCTGTCAATTAGGATATAGCCAACGAGGCCTCTGTGTGGGCAGGGCCTTTTGCTGAGGATTCTGGGAGCCCCTCCTTGGAGGAGGGAAGACACTCTCTTGGCTCACTCCCTGTGAGACATCTCTGTTGAGAAGACAATGGAGAGAGGTTGATGGAGCCAGATCTCTGGAGCTGGAGAAGCCACATGGAGACCCCTGCCAGTGCAGAGATATTTCCACTGCCACTGGATCCACAAGACTTCACACCCGCTGGCCTGTGATCTTCCTGCATTTGGCATCACTGCATGTGTTCTGTTGAGTCTGAAGAGGACTGTATAGATTGGTATTGGACATATGGGCTAATATTGGACTTATGGACTTGATCTGGATTGAGCTGGGCTGTTTTCTCAATATTCAACTACTTTGTGTATAAAGCTCTTTCTTATACACATATGAGTGTCTATGAAATTGTTTCTCTAGTCTATCCAGTCTAGCACAGAGACTTGTTTCCTTATTTTTGTTATTGTGAATAATGCTGCAGTGAACATAGATGTGCATATATCTATTCATATTATGGTTCATATTTCTGTAGGATATATACCTCATAGTTTTCCATACTGGTTGCACTATTTTACACTGTCCTCATTATTTGCTATTCCCTGGTTTTTTATCACTGCTATTATTGTTGGAGTCATATGGTATCTCAACATTGTTTCAATTTGCACTCTCTTGGATCATGACCATCTTCATGTATTTGTTGACCTCTTGAATGTCTTTGGTTAAGTGTCTGTTCATGTCCTTTACCCATTTAAAAATGGGATTATTTGTCTTTTTGTTGTTGTATTATTGAAGTTTTCTGTAAATTTTAGAGATTAGTCACTTGCTAGATACACTGTTGGCCTTAATTTTTTCCAGTCTCTATTAAGGTCTCCTTCTACACTCTATAGAGTTTTTTGATGTGCATAAATGTCTATTTTTAGGAGGTCCAAATAGTTTAATTATCTTTTGCTGATTCTGAATTTTCAGTAATGCTTGATAGATGATTTATGCCATAAATTAAGTCCCTCACATTTGTCCCTGTTTTTTTTCTCCCATGATCTTTATAGTTTTAGGTTTTACATTTAGGACTTTGATCCATTTTGTTATGTCTTGTCTATGGTGTGAAATATGGGCCCTGTTTCATTTTTCTGCAAGTGGATATCCAGTTTACCAGCACTACTAATTAAAGGGAAAAGGTCTAACAGATTTTAGCTCTTTGTCAAAGATAAGATATTCATCAACCAAAACCAAATTCA